CTGCATCCCTCCTGGCTCAGGCAATCCTTCCATCTGTTTCCCAAGTAGCTGGGACAACAGGCATGCGCCACCACATCCAACTAATTTTTTGATTTTTTTGTAGAGATGAGCTCTCTCTCTATGTTGCCCAGGCTGGTCTCGAACTCCTGGCTCAAGTAATCTCTTGCCTTGGCCTCCCAACATGTAGGGATTATAGGCATGAACCACCATGCCTGGCAAAATTTTCTTTTCTATGGTTTTCACACCTTAGAATTGGCAGGATGTGCATTCCCTACACAATCAGGATTTTGAGACGCCAACTCACAGAACTAAATCCAGTGAGATAGCTGAATTAATGCAAATGTACTAATTGGTAATACAAAATATAACCGCCAGGAAGATGGCACAGTTCCATTTGAACACCAGTATATCCTCTTCTATAGTCAAACAATAACCACCAAAAAAGAAAATCAGAATGTTACTGACAGAACCTGATGGGATTTAAATGTGTACATAGCCTTGTCAATCTGAGAGGTCACTCTCTTTCTTGGACAGTTCACACTGTCTATCTCCAGTCTTGGTACCATGTAATTAAACTATATGGTTTTCCTTTCTAAATGCACCTTTCAAACCACCTCAACTGGAATCACAGAGCTTCCTAATTCTGGGGTAAACAAGGTCTTGATTTGCTTCCTCAGACAGCTGTTCGTGTTCATTCTATGTAGACATCAATCATTTAACTCTAGGGAAAGCTGGGTAAACTAATTTCTCTTTATCATCATATTCATCAAGAAATACTTGTTGGGTTGGGCATTTCGGCAGAGAGAATGAAAAGGTTTCAGTCTATTCTAGTAAAATGCTTACGTTATAAAATGTTAAAGCCTTCAGATGTAACCTGAAATTACCATTTGCTTAACAAATGTTTATCGAGTACTTACCAAAAAAATGAATGGAGTAACTCACCAAGTCTAGGAACTGTGAGATTTTTCTAATGGCTGAGCAGCTGCCACTTAAAAATCATGGTGACCTTCACTGACATCTTCTGAATTTTCCAAGGGGAGAGAATTGGGCTCAGGAATTTGGGTCACTTTAAAACACATTTGGCTTGAGTGAGACTACACAGAAGTAGTTGTGTGGAACTCAGTGGGGATGTCATCTGAACTATGGATTTTTGGGTTGTGTTAGGGACTGTGCATATTCAGTTTCGAGTATAAAAGATCATTCGGTATGGTCATGGTCCACCCTAAGGCTGACAGTGCCTTCTATGAGTTTCTTGTGATCCTAGATGGTCCCATAATCAGACCACATATGATTGCCCATATGGTCCAGACTGACTAAAGAAGAAAGAAAAGCTGGGAGGAGGCTGGTGTACTAGGAGAATGTGCAGGGGCTTGCAACTGGAGTCCTGGATAAAGCTGAAATTTAGGTCAAGTGTGAGTATGAGACTGGGAGTGCTGGAGACAGGTGTGAGATGAAAGAGGACTGTGTTTCCATCTGCAAGAGTGGTAGAGGAGTTCTAAAATTATAACTTTGCAGGATGTGGTCAAGAGAATGAGTTCTTACTCAGGAGATAATGGGTGCTGGGTAGAGTGCTGGGGATACTTGTTGCTTTGTTCTACACTCTCCTGTATTCTCCAGAATCCCTAAAGACACCTCCATCTGAATGCCTTCTTAATCCCTCACCCAGATGGAATTCTCCATTGTTCCCCACCCAGCCTTATTTCCATTCTGCACTGCTGTCAGGAGCTCCTGCCACTGGGCCAGAAACTTGGAAGTCTTCCCGAACATCTCCCTCTCAAGTACAGTCACTGACTCCTGTGAATTCTACTTTGTAGACACTGGCAAATTTATTCTGTCTTCCCTGTTTCCACTGCTGTAGTCTTGGTACAGATCTTGATCACAAGTTCTGTCACTGGTGGTTGTCTTGCCCCCCTCCCCCCGTCTTAAAAACTGCCAGTCTATTCTGTCCCGAGCCCACCTCCACTCCAAGCAGAATCTTTTTCTTCAGCACTTCAGACTCCACTCCTGCTCCCACTGCAGCTGCTTCTTTGGACATACCCTGCCCTCCAGCCACATGGAACACCTTGCATTTGCCAGAATCTTTCATGTTTTCTCCCTGGTCCCGGGCTTTAGTACAAACTGCTCCCTTTGCTTAAAGCAACCCTCCTTTCTTTTTTTCTTCCTGGCTAACTCCTGTTCATGCTTTGGGGTCAGACTCAGTGTTGCCTTCTCCAGGCATTCTTTGGTGGCAGCTTTCACCCTGACCTCCCTGAGTGAGACCCTCCAGACATGCTCTCCCAGTTACCACGGTGTATACTGGGGGGGATTGTGCCCCGTATTGCAAATACAGATTTTTGTGTCTTTCTTCCCTATGAAGCTGCAAGTTCTTTGAGGGAAGAAATGTGTGTCTTATTCAATTTTGCATTCCATTGGCTGGTTTGGAGTTTGACACATAGTTGAACCTTAATAAACACCCAATGAAGGAAAAGTAAATGAATGAGTGAATCCAGTGAAGATCTGTTCCTATTTGGAATTCTTTAATCTTATGAACCCATTCCCTTCCTGTTGTAGTGATCATTCTATGAAGCACTCTTAGATCATGCCTTGTCTGAACACTAAATCCTCATTAAAATATATTTGGCATCAAAGACTGAGCTGGAAAAATAGTCAGGTGCCTTCATTTTTACAGATAAAGAAACTAAGGCATAGAGAGGTTAAATGTCACTCAGAGGCACACAGCTGGGCTGAGCCAGGATAGTCCCAGCTACTCGGTAGCTACTCCTGACCCAACTGCTTCCTCCAACTACTATGCTGTTTCTACTTAACTACCTGTGATTGTAGAAACTTTTGATCTTACTTCTTTGAGGAATGCATGATGTGCTTCTAGCCTCAGGAAATAAACACTCCCGCTTGCAGACAACTTTCAGTAGACGGTTAACCTTTTCCAGAAATGATTCCTAAGAAGGAAGGAGGGCTAAACAGAGTGCCCTTCAGTGTGGCTGTCCCTGGCCTCCTTCGTGCACTTCACAAATTCCGAGGAAGGAGAAGAAAGTCAGCTTCTCATCTTGCTTGACTGGGAGAGAGCGAACATGGCCTTTGAGACAGGGTTGCCTTGGTTGAGTAATGCACATCTTTGGTGGGTTTTTATGAAACTCATTCACATGTAAGTCATGAAACAACAGCATTTGATGCTGGAGCTGGTAGGGTGGGTGCTCATAAAGTACCTGCAAAGAGCTGTTCTTATCTCTTCTTTTCATGGTAATATGGACACCTTTTCAAGCCCAACTTGGTTTTTGTTTTGTTTTGGAGTCAGGGTCTCACTCTGTTGTCCAGGCTGGAAGGCAGGGGCATGATCATGGCTCACCACAGCCTCAGTCTCAATCTCCTGGGCTCAAGTGATCCTTCTGCCTCAGCCTACCGAGTAGCTGGGACTAAAGGCATGCACCACATCACACCTGGCTAATTTTTACATTTTTTCTGTAGAGATTGGTCTCCCTATGTTGCCCAGGTCTCTAACACCTGGGTTCAAGCAATCCTCCTGCTTCAGCCTCCCAAAGTGATGGGATTACAGGTGTGAACTTCAACACCCAACCACCAACCTGGTTTTCATGCTCACTTCAATTTCCCTCTTTCTTCATTCTATGTATCTGTCCTCATCTGTTAAAATGATCCTGACTTTTTCTTCACTTTATTTTTCTGATCACTATACTTATTGCTTGTGGCGTTTATGCATGTTTAGCAAGTCAGTTTGGGTGAGATTTCTTTTAGTTATAAGACTGAACCCAGTTTATATATTTGATTTATTTGAATTACTGGATTCAAAATACTGTTGGGCATTTTCCATTAATTGTTTAAAAGGGGGTGTTTTTAGATGACTAGTCTATCAAATTATTGCCTTAAATCTCTCAGTTTTTATATTTCTTCTTATTAAATGATTGCCAAGGATGTTTACTCACCCAAAGAATAACAGGAAAGTCACAAACCTGAATGCAGGACAAACTGATGGTGAAGACTTTTCATATTACTGAGACTTCTAGGCAACTGAGTTCCACTTTGAACCACAGATTGCACACTCTGTGTATATTTGGTGTGTGTATATAAGTGTATGTGGGTGCATGCTCATACATTTGTAGACACATGTATAGGTACAGCCACCATGCATGCTTGTTAGGGTAGCAGATCAAACCACACTCAGAAATATATTTTCTACTAAAGAACAGAAACAATTTTGAGCACTACGGAGAAATTCCAAGGAAGTCTAATCAAGATCACTGCATGACTAGATATCTCTTTTTTTAATCATTTACTTATCACTAAATTTCAGCTTTCTTAAATAAAAATACTAAATATTTACTAATAAAACCTTCTGAATCAATTTCTTGTTTGCTTGAAGTTGAGGAATAATAAAAATTCGAGGTAATGAACCTGAAGCTTGTATTTGTTTACACAACAGAAACGATTCTGGGAATGATGATGTACTTGAATTGTGGCTCCAACTACCAGGTGAAGGTGTGAGCTTTCTCACCGATTCCCTCCTCTTGCCCATCGGTACTGCATTCCCTACTTCCAGTAGGGGGTGCTGTTGTTTAATACAAGGCTCATTGTTCTCAGAATTTGGTTATTGATTCAGATCATTTCTAACCTTTGTCCTTTCCCAAGATTTAATCTGTTTAAATTGATATTGGTTATTTGCTCTTAAGTTTACTGTGAATTTAATCTTATGTTACTGTTTAATACATTAGAGTACCATTTTGTTTGCTGCCACTACACTAATCAGCATTAATTTTCCCCAGAATGCATTCTGAATATCAGTGAGCTTGTTCTAGAAAATGAATACTTTTATTGTTTTTAAGACAATGAAATATTTGATTACTTTGTGAAAATGCATGAAATGAATTTTAATGAGATAGGTTTGGGAATCAAATTAAGACTTTTGGAGAAGTGGAATATACAAGTTTTGCCTTTAAATTTTTATTTTTCTGCTGGTAGAGATGTGTTATATTTGCATTTTTGAGCCTGAATAATTTTAATTCCATTTTTATTGTACAAACCCAAGAGGAACATTTGCTTTGTTTTCACTGATTAGTTATACAATTATTCTTTTTCATATACTACATGAACCATGAACCATAATATTATATTGCTTGTTAATACATTTTGGCAAAAGTATTTACATGACAACACAATACATAAATGTAATGACTTTCTCAAATGAGTACATTGTGCCATGAAGCAAACACCTTTATTTTAATACAAGTAAAATTCATTAAATTTTTTCTCAATTAGCAAAGCGACTTTTCCAAATGAACTAGTGAAGGAAAAACATTGCCTGTTTTATCCCAGCCCAGCTGATTTGCTTCTTATTACCAGATGCCTATTTGGGAAAGAGACAAAAAAAAAAAAAGGGGGAATTGTTTAATTTTAATAAACTTGATGCAATGCTGACTCCTAGGGGATTAGGTATAGCTCTGATACACTTAGTTTCCTTTCAGTTAGTTTCAAAGTAAAAGTTAAATCTGAAAGCAAAGGGCTTTGAAGCAAAAATAACACCATCAAGACTCTCTCATGTTGAAAGGTAGAACTTGGAGACTCAGATGAACAAATCCTTTGAATTGCAAACTTAATTTAAACAATAGAATATTTTATTTCCCCCCCTCACTAAAATGTTTAAATCCCATCATAAGTCTAATAACCAGATTATGTCATTTGACACAGACAGTTGAGTTGAGCCCTGTATCTATAAGTACAAATGTAGTTTTTTGGAAAAAAATACAATTGACTTTGAATTCACATTTATATAGTATAGATTTCAGATTAATTTAACTGCTCCTTTATGAAGCAGTTTTTTTAGTTCTTGTATTATTCATTTTATGTGTAGTGTGAAGACATCTTTTTTCCTTAAGAGACTCTTTTTTGAAAAATGACACTATGCACATTGAATGAAAAAATGAAAAATGCACATTGAATGACAGAGTATGGGATTTTGTCAAATCTGTTAGATATTCCTAATAAAAATGTAAAGACTAAGAATATTAATTATTCTATATGTGTATGGAGTTCCTCTTAATTTACTTAGTATCACTTAATCTAATTCTTAGAATACCAGCTTAGCCTTCTTCAGATGAATTGTAAAATGCTAGTTAAATAATATTTCTAATGGTATAAGGTTAAAGACTGAGAATTCCAACTTCTGGTAATGTTTTCTAGAATAACATGCAACTAATATATAGTCCCTGTCTTGCAGGGAGCCAGATTAAAGTGTTAAAATAAATTAGATATTAATCGTGAGAAAAGTTGTCAATATTTCTCTGTCCTTGATACTTCAAATTGCTCTTAAGTTGATGGATGGGTGCAGGGCTGGTAGAGGCTTTTAATAAATAAATAAATAACCACAGCAGTAAAGAAGTACATGATAATTCTCTAATAAGAGAAAAAGAGGAATTGGACTCCTTAGAACAACAGTTGATTATAGGGCTGATGCAGGGAACATGCAAGATGAAGTGAGAGCATCTTATATGAGTAAGGAAGTGCTCAAACTTAAAAACAAGCAAGAAATGAAGCTTGTCAAAGGAGCATAGGAGCCAAACCAAAAGCTGCTAGTGGACAAGCCTGGAACAAAGTAAATAAGGGAGTATTAAATTATAATATAAAATATAAATATTCACAAGTCTATAACTTAGTGAACAAACAAAAACAAATAAACACCAACGGGTAAAGAAATAGTCTTCCATATGGAAGAATTCCAAATAGTTTATGTAGATACTAGCCACCACCATCTTTTAAGGAGGTAGAGCTGAACTCCCTGCCCCTTGTGTGTGAGCTGAGCTTAGTAACTTGCTGCTAAGAAGTAGAATGTAGGAGGAAGAAAGACAGTAAAGAAACGTGGCCAATGGTATCTGGGCCAGGTGATCAGGGCTGTCATCACCAGCAAAAAACCATGCTGAGAACATGTACTTTTTTTTTAGTTGGAGTCTCACTCTGTTGCCTAGGCTGGAGTGCAGTGGCACGCTCACGGCCACCACAACCTCGACCTAATGGGCTCAGGTGATCCTTCTGCCTCACCTTCCAAGTAGCTGGAACTACAGTTGCACGCCACCACACCCGGCTAATTTTTGTGATTTATTGTAGAGATGAGGTCTCACCAAGTTGCCCAGGCTGGTCTTGAACACCTGGGCTCAGGCAATCCTCTCTCCTTGGCCTCCCAAAGTGCTGGGATTACAGGCTGAGCCACCACGCCCAACCAATATGTACTCTTGATCTGATGTGACGAGAATGACACAATGACACTTTACCTTCCTTGTCTTCCTCCCAAATACTGATAGCCCTAGTCTAACCATGATAAAAAGAAAATTCAGACAAGCCCAATTTGAGGAACATTCTACAAAATACCCCCAACATACCTCAAAATGCCCAAAGTCATTAAAAGCAAGAATAATCTGAAAAAAAATTGACATAGGAGAGATTAAGGAGACATGGTGGCTAAATGTAATAAGATCTTGAAATAGAAAAGAATTAATGAAACCAAATAAACTGTGAAGCTTAGTTAATAGTAATATACTGATGTTTGTTCCCTAGTGTGACAAATGAACCAGAAGGAACTGGGTGAGGGGTATAAGGGAACGCTGCACTATTATTACAACTTTTCTGTAAGTGTAAAGTGATTTTAAAATAAAACAGTTTGTAAAAAACAAGGCCAAGTGCAGTGGCTCATGCCTGTAATCCCAGCACTTTGGGAGGTAGAGGCGGGAGGGTTGCTTGAGCCCAGGAGTTTGAGACCAACCTAGGTAATATAGCAAGACCTCATACTTACAAAAAATTAAAAACAAACAAACAAAAAAGAATAAACATTAGCCGGGCAGGGTGGTATGTTCCTGTAGTCCCAGCTATTTGCGAGGCTGAGGCAGAAGGAATTGCCTGAGTCCAGGGGGTTGAGGCTGCAGTTACTCCACTCTGAGAACAGAGTGAGATTCCAACTTAAAAAAAAAAAAAAAAATTAAGAACAGTCTACTGAGTAAGAATGGGACAATCTGAGGAGGAGGCCTTCACAATATACCTTTTTCTTGAGTTATGATATCGCTTTTTTGAAAAAATAAATTTCAAAATTACTCTATTTTAATCACAAGTCCATATCAAACTAACCTAAGTTGGAAAAGGATGTTGGATTGGCTTATGTACCTGAAGAGTTCAGGGGCAGAATGAGCTGCATGAGACATGGCTGGATAAATGAGGACTTCTTTGCTTTTGTTCTTTGTTCTTGGTTCCTCTCTAACTCTTAACTCTCAGCTCTACTACAGCAGATGGCTGCCCCCAAGGCTCTAGAAAAACGGCCGCAAGATGCATGAGTCACAGGAATCTATTATTTTTACAGATTGCCAAAGAAGAGGAGAAAACATCTTTTCTTCTCTGACAGTGAGGTGCCCAAAAGAACTCTGGATCATCCTGAGTCACATATCCTTGATCCCTGATCCAGTCATTATAGTCAGAAGGTAGAGTACTCTGATTGGCTAGGCTTAGGTCACATGGGGAAATTGAGGTTGTCTCACTTGCATCCTATAGAAAGGGGAGAGATATTCCCTCCAGCAATGAACACATATCTATTACAGAGTCAAACGGGCTTGAAACTAGAACAAACCTAAATCCCTGAGGCTCAGACTTGTATACATAGACCTAATACAGAACTCAGTGAACTGCAAGATGCTAGGGGCATGGAAAATGACCATTAACTGTCCCAAAGCATGCTCTCCATTTATGTAGGTTGTGAAGCTGAAACTAGAATATGACATCCTTTTCTAAGACCCTACCTGATTAAAGCTGCTATTTTGCAAACCAGGGAACACATTAAGCTCCTTCCCCTCACAGACTGTATTCTGTCCAGGTGTAAGTGGTTTTAGAGCCTAAACTAAAATGATGAGATAAAAGAAAATGTTTGCCAAAATAAGGAGCAATACAGGAGACTCTGATTTCAGAAATGCTGAATTAATCTTCACCAACTTCACACATTTTTGGAAAATAAAAAACTCAGCTAAGGTCACAAAAAAGTCCTTTCCTCTGGTGACTGAACATACAGCTTTTTCAGGACCTAGGGAGAACTCCTTTGCTTCAAGAAAGAATACAGTTACACTGCAAAAGTAGTCATAGCTTTTGCATTGTGAGAGGAAGCAGGGTGAATCAAGCCACTTGAATCTCTTGAAATATGTTTCCCCACTGTAAAATTGAGATGATAGTTCTGTTTTGCCAAATTGTTGGGAGTTGTATTCATGTCTGCTATACAATGAACGCTTACATCCACCTGCATCAAATTCATATATTAAATCCTAACGCCCAATGTGATGGTGTTGGGAGCTGGGACCTTTGCATGAATGGGACTAGTACCCTTATAAAAGGGTATCTGTTTATGCAGGAACTAGTATCCTTATAAAAGGGTATCTGTTGGCACTTTGATCTTGAACTTTCCAGCATCCACAACTGTGAGAAATAAATTTGTGTTGTTTCTAAACCACCTAGTCTATGGTATTTTGTTATAGCAGCCCAACTGGACTAAGTATCCTGTTGCTGCTATAACAAATTACCACACACAGAATGACTTAAAACACAGATGTATTATCTACAGTCCTAGAGGTTTGGAATCCAAAATGGGTTGGCAGAGCTGCATTCTTTCTGAAGTCTCTAAGGGGAGAAGCTATTTCCTTTCCAGCTTTTAGAGGCTGCTTGGCTCTGACATCTGTTTCCATGGTCATGTCTTTTTCTTTTTCTTTCTCTCCTCTCCTCCCCTCTTCCCCTGCCCCTCCCTCTTTCCTTCTTTCTTTCTTTTTCTTTCTTTCTTTCTCTCTCTCTCTCTCTTTCTTTTCTTTTTTTTTTTTTTTTGAGTCAGGGTCTCACTCTGTTGCCCAGGCTGCTGGAGGGCAGCACCATGATCACAGCTCACCACAGCCTTGACTTGCCTCAGGCAATCCTCCTATCTCAGCCTCCTGATAGCTGGGATTACATGCATGCCACCACAGCCAGTTAATTTTTCTGTAGAGAAAAAAATTTGCTATATTGTCTAGGCTAGTATCAAACCCCTGGGCTCAAGCAATCTTTTTGCCTTGGCCTCCCAAAGTGCTCAGAATACAAGATCCACCTCAAGATCCACCACACCCAGTGGATCCCAAAGTGCTCAGAATACAAGATCCACCACACCCAGCCATATCTTCTTTTCTGACTCTGACCCTACTTCCTGGCTCTTATAATGATCTATGACCCCCGTGATTACATTGTCCTACTCAGACAATCCAGTATAAGCTTTCCATATCAAGATCCTTTACTTAATAACATCTGTAAGGTCCCTTTTGCCATGTAAGGTAACAGATTGACAGATTTTAGCAATTAGCATGGTCATCTTTGGGAGACCATTATTTTGCCGACCACAGGAGTATAAAACAAAATAATATCCCTGAAGGTTCTTAGCACTGTGCTTGCCACATAGTAAATACTTGGTCAATGCCAGTTTGAAGTTTGTTAATTTTAACAATTCGAATCTTTGACCATGTATCCCGTCTAGGATTACATTTTCAGATGTTCAATATATTGATACATATTACATATGCAGAATACATAAATACATTCTTGTGAATACCAACCTAACCTTTTCTTTTTTTTGAGTTGCGGTCTCAGTTTGCTGCCTAGTCTGGAGTACAGTGGCACAATCACAGCTCACTGCAGTCTTGACCTCCAGGGGTCAGGTAGTCCTTTCGCCTCAGCCTCCCAAGTACCTGGGACTACAGGTACATGCTACCACACGTGGCTAATTTTTTTATTTTTTGTAGAAATGAGGTCTTGCTATGCTGCCCAGGCTGGTCTCAAACTCCTGGGCTCAAGCTATCCTCCTATCTCAGCCTCCCAAAGTGCTGGAAACCACTGTGCCTGGCCCTAACCTAAATTTTCACATTTATGAGTTCTTTGTACTTACCTTAGAAGAGATTTTTCTATCCAAAAATCCAGGGCATGGATGGAACTATTTTAAGCAGTAAAATAGTCAACATGCACATAATTCTTTATTAAAGACCAAAGGCAATATATGGATTGTGGAGAATTTTTAGAAAACATTCACTGTCCTAAAGAATGCTACATCTTGTGATTGTAGTAAAAGGGATATTTCATCAAAGTATGTTGCAGGAGGTCCAGCTTTCGCAATTCAGGTGTTTGTACTGTAGCATATCTTTCCATTTGCACTGGAGTTAACAGGTTCCAAGGGCATCCCAGTGTCCCTCTTTTGGGGAGGGTCCTGCTGGCCCAAAACTGTACTCAGAGTGACCCCGTGGCTCTGAATCAGGGTGTATACTGAAGTTTATTTTTATCCTGGCCTATTACACTCTAGGGACTTTGATGACCAGACAGAACACTCATCATCCTGAAGGTATGCAGTGGCCTTCGAGAGCCTCCCAAAATGATTTATGAACCCTAGTTCATACATCTAAATAAAGGTAAAGATTAAGGCTTTATAAATTCTAGTCAAAAGAACAAACACCCATGATTCCCAGAGAGGTCAATCTTTGCAGGAATGAAGTTTATATTAGGTACGATGGGCCATCTCTAGTATGTGTTCTTCTGGTTAATAATAGTCTTTGTTGAGTAGTTGCTCTCCTAGGAGGGAACGCTAATGTAATACTCACTGAGTTTTCTGCTGCTGGCTGGGAATTATCAATAGGTCATAAATAAACTACCACAACATAGAAAAGACAATAAGATTATATATACTCCTACTACCTCCAATTACAGTGAGAGCAACAATTATAAGACTGTACTCCCACAGCCACCCTAGGGAGAAAATGAGAGGAAAATGTTCCATTAGCTTAATGAAGAGAGCACGGCAGAGCCACAGTCAAATTTCCTCACTATTAGCACCTAAGGTGTTGCCCTAGCACATGAGGGAAACTCGAGTTACAGGGTAACAATTAAACTTTCTGACAATTAGCCCCTACAAGGTACAGGTCCCTGAACCTGAAGGAGACATTTCAAAGAATTCCATTTACATTTTTCTCACCTCTTGCCTATGAAATTTAAGTAGTCACTTGCTTGAAGAAATGGAGTCAGGGTGAAGAGTTTCTTTCACAGATGAGTACAAAGCATTGTTGGCAGCCTTGCCCGAGAGAGAGACCATGTCAACCAGATGCCACCATGAGTAAAAGGGAGGGCTGAGAAAGATGAAAGATCTGCAGAGATATGTTCACACCAACGTAATTAGGGGAGAGATGAACTGGATCAACGAGGCTTTAGTGTTATCTGTGTTAGGGAGATGACCACGGAGGAATAAAAATAGATGTGAGGCCTCACACTGCAACTGCCAAAGAATCAGATTGTCCCCCCCTTGCAGGCACTGTGGTACAGGCTGTCCTGGGCTCAGATTCCTGCCCCCCTCACCAAGCCCCAATTTTTCTCCTATACAAAATGGAGGCCCCAATAAAACACACTTCCATGGGTCATTGGGAGGATTGAAAGGGAAAATGCGTAAGGATGAATCAATAGTAAGTGCTTAACAAGTATTAGGTATTATTATATATGTTCAGAATTAGTCTAGAACACTATGCATTTGTATGGCACAAATAAATATTTGTGTGATAACAAATACTCTTAGAATAATGAATACTCTCATAATTGTTCTCTGGGCACCATGATTCAAACTTTACTTAGGTGGTAGGGAGTAAACAGTCTACTTGGGTTCCTCTTAATTTAAGGAGAAGTAAAGGATATTTATGTAATTTGGAGGTGTGATGTGTCTGAACTGTTCTACAAATTGTCCATAAATATATGAATAAATATGGGCAAATAATGGACCCCTCCTCCCATTATCCAAACTATAAGGAGCTTTTTTTTGGTCCAACACCTCTACCTATCAAGTAGAATACTGATGCCAATCACACCAGTACACTCCTGCTGTTGTTTCTTATCACCACATGGAGTTGCTGTTGAAGGGTGGGTGCTCTATTGCCTATCTCTCTGGGCAGAGCAAAGCAACTCTTATTTGGCGGAGTTGGGGGGCATCTCGCTTTGTCTGGAGTGTAGTGGTATGATCACAGCTCATTGCAGCTTGGAACTCAAGCTATCCTTCCACCTCAGCCTCCTGAGTAGCTAGGACTATAGGTATGAACCACGCCTGGCTAATTTATTTTTATTTTTGTAGAGATGAGATTTGCTATGCGTCCCAGGCTGATCTTGAACTACTGGCTTCAAGTGGTCCTCCTGCCTTGACCTCCCAAAATGCTGGGATTACAGGCGTTAGCCACCGAGATCAGCCCAAAGCAGTTCTTAAACAAAGCCCAACTCTCTTCCTTAGAGCTGGCTTTGACTGAAGGTGCAGCACTAATGTATGCCTCTTTCTCTTGTATAGCCCACACCCTTCAGGGTGCCAGTTGGCCACAGTGACTCTGGATCAGGACTGACTCAAATGTCAGCCACCTCATGAACCTAGAATTCTTTCTCCCCATAATTTCCCTCAAAAAGTACTTAAAGGATTTCCTGGATTGAAATTTCCAACTTCTGACTTCCAATTATAACTACTGATAGAAAGCTTAAAAGAATGACAAGTCAAGCGGCAGACTTTCACTGAGAAGTCGTATTGTCTAGGACACAATATTTCAAACATCATTATTCTTCCTGTCTATAGATTTTACAGTTAGTTTGCATTTACAATTAGGCTTTAGGTGTTTTTGTGAAATCACAGGGTTGTTTTTAAAAATCTTTTAGTTGGGCGTAGTGGCTCATGCCTGTAATCCCAGTCTTTGGGAAGTGGAGGCAAGAGGACTGTCTGAGCCCAGGCAGTGTGGGTAACTTGGTGAGGTCTCATCTCTACAATAAGATAAAAAATAAGCTAGGTGTGGTGGTGTGCGCCTGTAGTTCCAGGTACTTGGAAGGCTGAGGTGGAAGAATCACCTGAGCCCAGCAGGGTGAGGCTGCGGTAGCTGTGAGCATGCCACTGCACTCCAGTCTGGGCAACAGAGTGAGACTCTGATTCAAAAACAAACAAAAAATCCTTTTAGTTTGTATCAAGATACTGAAATTAAGAAGTGCAAGTACTTCCCAATGACACCTTCCTGTGACATCTGCTGTCCTAGTGATGGGTTACTTCTTTTTCCTGAATGGTGTGTGGATGTTACCTTTCCCAGCACATGCTGCTCTTTTCCCAATCACCAAAGGGTTTATTTCTGCTCCCTGCCACCCTCCATGTTTTGCGACCATTGTACAGATGTTGTAAAAATTGTGCCCCATTTCTACTCCCAGAACTCTTTATCCCTCTTCCTTTCTTTTTTTTAATTCCTAAGAATTTATCACCACTTGACATACTATATATTTTACTCACTTATGTTATTTTCTGTCTCCTCTTATTTATAGTTAAGCTCCATGAAAACGGGACATTTTGTTTTATTTATTGGTGAATTCCCAGTGCCTAGAATAATGCCTGGCACATAGTAGATACATAACAAATAGCTGGGCATTGTGACTCACGCCTGTAATCCCAGTACTTTGGGAGGCAGAGGTGAGAGGATTGCCTGAGTCCATCCTGGGCAACTTGATGAGACCTATCTTTACAATTAAAAAAAAAAAAAAAAAAGGAAAATAGCTGGGAGCAGTAGCACGTGCCCATGGTTCCAGCTGTTTGGAAGGCTGAGGCAGAAGCATTGCTTGAGCCCAGCAGGTTACAGCTGCTGTGGCCATGAACATGCCACTGCACTTCAAGCTGGGTGACAAAGTGAGTCTCTGACTCAAAAAACAAAACAACTCCACAAATAGTTGTTATCTGTAGGTGAAATTTATCAATTTTAAAAATTGTGATCTAACTCGGAAAATTATAGAAGACAAAGACTTTTATAACTTTACAATTTCCTTTCCTAAACATGAAGTCCATCAATCATCGACACCAGCATCACTTTTTTCCTATTATTAATCATTTGTGGTCAGGTGTGGTGGCTCATGCCCAGCACTTTGGGAGGCGCCAAGGTGCAAGGATTGCTTGAGGCCAGGAATTCAAGACCAGCCTGGGCAACATGGTGCGACCCCATCGCTACAAAAAGTAAAAAATTAGCCTGGTGTGGGTGGTCGCCTGTAGTCCTAGCTACTTGGAAGGCTGCGGCAGGAGGATTGCTTGAGCCTAGGAAATGGAGGCTACAGTGAGCTGAGATTGTGCCACTGCACTCCAGCCTGGATGACAGAGACACTGTTTTAAGATAATAATAATGATAATCTGTTTTTTGTCCCCAAGTTGCATGGCAACAATGATAAAATTTGACATCTACACTGATAAAAATAAGACAATTAAAAAAGAGATAGTGATTTTTAAAAAAAGATTAAAAAGAGAGATCTATTCATCTTGTCTTGCTCCCATATTTTTCAGATTTGTAAATTGACAACAGAGGATGTCATTGTGATTGTACAGCTGTCTGCACTGTTTGAATCTTGGGGAGTTTTGTTCTAATTTTAAGTTACAAAAGCCCTGTGACTTTATAAAAAGATTTGATAACCTGTTCTCATCAGGGTAGAAATTCCCATAAGAGTTAAAAAGATTTGATAACCTGTTCGCATCAGGATAGAAACTCACGAGCTCTAATTCCCTATTCCCCATTTACAATCATGAGTAATGATTTTAGCTAAATCACTTTATCAAGATGGACCTGAGTGGGATGATTCGATGACTAGGAAGTTGTTGATGTAGTGTAACTTGAGGTAGTATGGAGGCCCTATAACTCAAGCTATAGACAGTCCGGTGTCACAAATTGCATGACTGTCTTTATGCTAAGCTTTATTCACTCCGCAATTTTTTTTTTTGAATTGGGGTCTTACTCTGTCACCCAGGCTGTAGTGCAGTGGCAAGATCAAGGCTCATTGCAGCCTTGACCTCCTGGGTACAAGTGATCCTTCCTTCTGCTCAGCCTCCCAAGTAGCTGGGGCTACAGGTGCGTGCCACCATGCCTGGCTAATTTTTTTATTTTTGTAGAAACAAGGCTTCACTATGTTGCCCAGGCTGGTCTCGAACTCCTGGGTTCAAGCAATCCTCTCACCTCAGCCTCCAAAAGTGTGGGGATGACAGGCATAAGCTACCAACCTCTGGTTCACTCTGCAATTCTACTTAAAGAGCAAATTCTCTATTAGAGTACACATACAAAGTCCCTAATACTTTAGTTGGGACACAGATACTTGGAAGATATCCCAAAAAACTAGATGTACAAGGCTGGGCTTGGTGGCTCAGCCTGTAATCCCAGCACTTTGGGAGGCAGAAGCAAGTGGAATGCCTGAGCTGCCGATTCGAGGCCAACCCCGGTGACTTGGCAAGACCTCATATCTACAATAAAAAAATTAACCGGGCGTTGTAGCGCGCGCCTGTAGTTCCCACTACTTGGAAGGCTGAGGCGGAAGGATCGCTGGAGCCAGGTCGACACTGGGGTGGCTGGCCACTGCACTCCGGCCTGGGCGACGGAGTGAGACTCCAACTCAAAAAAAAAAAAAAAAAAAGCTAGATGTACTGAATCACTGAGGTTTTAGGATTGGAGACTGAGCAGAGTAGATACTGGGAAAGTACTCAAAGTAAGCAAAAATGCTCTGGGTGGAATATCCACTTAAGGCCTCATCAGTGTTAATGGAGGCATATGATGAAGAACCACCATGTCATATAAAGGCATCGGGAAGCCCATGGTTGACACTCAATTATTTGACAATTGTTACCTTTCCTGATAGATAGCACCTTTGGGTCTACTTCTCATTTGGTGAATATAGTATTGATAAATATATAAAGTTCAAGATTGGTGTGGCACGTCTTTGCATGTAACTGGCACAAAACTACACAAAATAAAAGACATGTTGTGGACAGAGATGAAATGAAAGTATGCAGTAATGTCTCGAACGCAGGGTGGTCTTCTCTGATGAAGGCAATAAGGGGATGCATTGTCCCTTGCTAAACTAAACAAAATAATATAACTAAAGAAAGTTTATCTGTTTTTTATGATCACCATGTGCCAAGTTTTAAATAATGCAAATTAGAAAATAATCCTCTCCCAAACCATCTCTTATTGTTCTAAATTCTAAACAATGTCTCTGGTTATTAAGTTGAAATGAAACATACATTGGTTTAAAATTAGTATTTTGATAATTTTCCCTTAATAAACATTCTATCCTACTATACATTAATTTGAAGAATTTCCAATTAAATAGTTAATCGCCCACAAAAGACCTTGCCACATCCATTCCTTTTGTAAGTAAAATTTGAGAAGGGGTGAAGTTTGCTTTGAAGGCAA